ATCTCCCCTCCCTTGCTCACTGCCATCGCCCCTCCTGGACTGCCCAGGCCACCGGCCTGCAGCCCCAACCAGCCGGCCAGCAGCCACCGCATGACAGCACGGGACGACGGAACCATGGGGTCTTGATTCCCTCTTCCCCCCCCCCCCCCCCCCCCCCCCCCTTTTTAATTTCAAATTTGAAATTCTAAAGCTGTATGAGCCATTAATTGTTTCCCAAAATCATGCAATCAATTTAATTGGATTTTAATTTCGAATTTGAAATTCGAAATCAATCTAATTGATTGTCTTTAATTTAGGAAACTCTTCCCCTTTAAAAACTGAAGTTTTAATTTCAAATTTTATAAAAATTCTGAAATTAAAACTAGTGGTCCCCACCTATTCAATTCATCATGCCACCTCATTACCTTACATGGCCGGCCCCTCCCTCTCCCCTATTAATTTTTCTTTAATGCACCTTTAATTCCTTCCCTCCTAAGCTTAATTTCAAATTCAAATTTCTGAAATTGAAATTAAGACCTCTCCAATTTCGGAAATCTGAAATAAACATCAGATTTTGTGCTTCTTCCCCCATAGCCTCACCCGCCCCTGCTCGTCTCAAACCCGTGAACCCTCCCTTCTCTCCCTAGCGCACGACTAGCCCTCCCACCTCCCCTTTTTGTCTTCCTAACTCAATCCCACCATGCATGGCCATCCCGAATTTGAATGGGGACTCGTGTTCGACGCCTACGGTAATATCAACATCATACGATCCACATTCTTCGACGCGGGATTTGATCACGAAGACGACACAGTCGGAGGTTACTTGGATCGAATCCTCCCCGTTCATGTGCAAGTCGTCAACCGACAATTTGCCGAGTACGAGTGGATCATCGACGGTCGACATTCCTCACCACTTCCACATCCAACGTCTCCCTCTCCATCACTACGGATCGCCGGCACCGTCTACCTCGGAGTGATCTCGTTCCATGTGTGGTTCTTCTTCCTCCGACAACCCTAGACATAGAAGAGTGATCTTAAGCCTCAAGGTGAGACGATCGCTTTGTTAACCGCCGGATTCGAGTTGGTTATTCATTGGCATTACTTTTTGATTGAGGTTGTTATTTTATAGATCTTGCAAATTTAGTTGTAATAACTTGCCTAGACTTTGTTAAATTCTTAGATCTTTATTGAAGTATCAATTGTGAGAAGCCTTAAAATTGTATTATCATTATTCTTACCGACTTTTATTAATTTCTAAGAAACAATTCCTGGTTTCACATCTATATGACTGTTACTGTTATGAATTGACTAACAACTTGTATATTATTTCTTTACATACATATGATGATTGCATTTTTATTAATTTTTTTATTTGATCCTAAGAATTCTTTATGGCAGATTTCCTGATTATTGTTGGTCTTATGTCTAATTTCTTCACATACTAATGAAATAATGAAGAGATTGTGGTTGATGTTTGCTTGAGTCACCAACCATCCTTTATAAATTGATTCCTAGATGACCTTTATCTTCACCGTTTCTTATGGAAATGTTTGAATGGGAATATTTCTTTTTGAATTGTTTAAATCAATGAAGTGAAGGCTCTTGAAATACACACATTATGCTTGAAAGAAGAAATAGAATCTTGATCTCCTCTCTTTAAATTTTTTTAATGGACATATGTTGAAAGCATATTTCACCATCAATGATATATAGTGATTTTGTTTGAAGTAATGAGGTTTAAAAGAGTCGATGGAGTTTTCTTCCCTTCTATTTACTTTGCTTTCACAAAATTTAAGAATACACAAGAGCTATTGCCATTTTCTTTTAGAAATATAAGGACTTATAGGCCTTTCTTCTTTAAAGCATTTTTTTTATCATCATTTGTAAATGGGATGTGGTGTTCGCATTAGTTGTAGTGAGAATTGTTGAATACATGTTTGATCTCCATGAGTCATGGTTAAATTGGAGGGGTTACATGTGATACAACACATGACATTTGATATCAAACATTTCTAAATTTTTTGGAAAAGTCTACATTAATATGTAAGTTGCAATATCATCTCTTCAATACAATAATGTATGGTTGGGTTGAGTGAACATATACATATGTTTTGTGCTTCAAGGTTATACCCATATCTAGGCATATGCAATATATAAGAAAGTTGGATGACTACATTGGTAGCTTATAAGTTTTGGAGAGAAGTAAGAAACAATCGTTTTGTTTCACTCAATCTTGCATAGGCATTTAAGTTGAGTCATGCATTCATGAGCATATGTAAATAAGAGCTTACAAATGAGTTTATATTTGCTCAATTTCATATCATAATTAGAAAATAAAAGATTGAAGCTATTGTGGATGGGAGTGATTTGTAGCAATGCCCCTTTCGAATTTTGACAAACCATATGGTAAATGTGTCATTAATTATCAAGTGTCTTTGTGATGTTTTGGGAAAGGTGTTGAATGCTTACTTGGTATCTAAAAATATAAAAGTATATGTTGGAGGGTAATGTGTACATTGTCGTGCTTCAATATTTCATACATAAGAGGTTTCATGTTGTGATTTGGGAAAGGGAAGGTGTGGAGACTTGTTTTGCATCCATTAGTGGTTGCTTGGAATAGATGTGAATTTTTGGAAAGTGAAGTGTTTATTATAAAAGAAGAAGTGCATGTTTCTTTCTCACTCCCTACCTCTTATTCACCCCTTTTCTTGTGTCTTTGGATGAGTTCCAAAATTACACAAGCCTCTTCCAAATTGAAATTCCAAAAGCAAAATCAAATAAAGTTGGTGAAAAAGTTTGAAAAAAGGTAAATATTTTGTTTTAATTAAAATTTAAATTCATATACTTCTTCATTGAATTAATAACTGCTTTAATCACTATTTCTCCTTTTTGTTTGTTATGTTTTGCGAGGAAGTGTGGCGAGCATCTGGACAAGGAGTTGTGGACGAGGAACTTAGACAGCAACGGAGCAGTAAATTTAGTCGCCCCCATTTCTTCCAAATGGAATACTATGGCCGAAAACCACCGGACTGTCTCCGGTGAGGTAAGTATTTCTAAAACTTAAGGCCCCTAAGTCTCTAAAATCATGCATGTGAATAGGATCTCCCTGAACCTTAGGTCATTGTAAAAACCCTGCATTTAATTTTAAACCCATTGACCCGTTAGTGAGTAGGATTTTACTTATTAGTGCCAAGTTTAAGGGTGTGTAGTATCAATTTATCACCCACATTGAAGAGTTTCTTTAATTCATAATAAATCCAAATTAAATCAAAAATAAATGATAAATGTCATACTGCTCAGAATTAAATACCCCTTAAAATTTAACCAAACAAAAAAGTAATTTCAAAATCAGAAAAATCAATAATTAATTAGATTAAATATTTAAAAATATAAAAAATTTCAAAATAATTTTAAACAATTATAATCATCCCTATGAGTCATCAATGATATTTTGGGAAGATTTCAAAAGATTTGGAGTTAATTTGATTAAAAAATAATAAATCTTCTCTAATTAAATAATTAAATAATTCATTAAATATGCAGAACTTATAAAAAACATAACTAATTACAGAAAAATTCAATTGACACAAACGCAAAGGCATTGAACTCATAATTGGATCTAATACAACAACAACATCAAGCCTTTATCCCACTACGTGGAGTCGGCTACATGAATCATTTCTCTCCATATGAGTCATATTAAGACAACCCTCTTTTAAAGATAGAGGTAAATTTGTGTCCTGTTAAGAGTCAAATTCTCATTTAAATCTAATAAAGAAAGGTCATTTCTAATATTTTATAGCCAAGTCTTTTAGGTCTACCTCTATCTTTCTAACATAGGCAAATCTAATACATTTACTCTCCTAACAGAGTCATCAAAAGGATGACACTTTATGAGACCAAACCATCTAAGACAACCCTCTCAAAACTTATTTGCCACTGGACTACTCCAACCTTGCCCCATGTATACTCGTTTTGCATTCTGTCTCTAAAACTAAAGTCACTCATCCACCTAAGCATCCTCACCTTTATAACATTTAACTTAATTTTATGTTTCTCTTTTAATGGCGAACATTCTACGCCATAAAGCATTGCAGGTCTCACTACAACTTATAAAATTTTATTTTAAGTTTGAGTGATACTTTTCTATCAAATAACAGGTCTTATACATTCCTCCACTTCAACCATCCAACTTGAATTCTATTAATAAAATCACTATCTATTTCATTATCACTTTCAACAATTGACTGAGATATATAAATGTATTCTTTTTAATGACTTGATCACACAAAGTCATAATCCCCCACTAGATCTATTAGTACTAAAATTACACCCAATGTATTCTATTTTAGATCTACTCACACGAAAACCTTTAGACTCTAAAGTTGACCTCCATAATTCAAGTTTTCCTTCAACTCCACCTCTAATCTTATCAACAAGAAGAATATCATTTGCAAAAAGCATACATTCTTCTTGTGATCAGTTGATTTGATGTTTTGAGGCAAGCTGAGAAGGTTTGAGCACTTAGAGGGAACTCCTGAGATAATTAAAGAATTACATTATACCAAGAGACAGAAAATAACTATCGGAAGTCACTATAAATAAATAAAACTGTGAAGATAACTACCGCTAGTAAAAAATGATAGAATAGCACAGAATATGCAGAAATGAGCATTTGGTTGGTGAGATCGGTTAGTGAATTGCCTAATAAAACTAGCAGGTCTTCTTAATTCTACCATACGCATCAATCCTAAGAACAATCAATAATTGAAACTAATTGTGATTCTAGCATACGCATCAATATATTATTCGTCAAAATAGATGATTTTGGTTGCAAATGATGATAACGATGATGATATAGGGTTTAGATATACATGAAATACATGGGTGATTTTGTTCGAAAATATATATACAATATCCCATTTAAATTATTAGTGTATGCCAAAACTCAACAAGGATGACTAAGTAAATCTGTGAAAAAGAACAAATTATGAGTGAAGATGTGCAGAGAGCATCTAAAATTGAGATGAGGAAAAATATGTACGGCGATGAACCTTGGCCCATAGAGCCATCTCCACGATATCTATGCCAACAACTTTGGGGAGACGGCCCAATACCTCCTTGCTAATATTTAAAATGCAAAGAAGCAAGCGATTCCTACAGAAAGAGAATTAGATAAATAAAAATAGACGCTATCTGTAGCTTTTTCTGTAATGTCAATCAAAAGTTGTTGATTGTTTCCTTTAACAACCCGACATGCAATATATGTTGTAAAATAAAGGTAAAGTAACCAAATCCAAAGGTCACCTGTCATCTTTGTTTCGCATGGTCCAATGAGGAGGAGCAACACTTTGGCTCCTTAGGTTATCAAATCCCTAAAAAGTGATTCATACAAACAGATAATTGTTAATAGAAAGTATAGAGAGACAATCCCATCAACTAACAGAAAACTAGAGAAATTAATAACATTTGTAAACATTAAGAGAACTGAAGATAAAGCACAAACGTAAATACCAGCATAAAGGTGCAGCCTGATGGATCATTTTGGATGACCTCCACTTTTGAGAGGTGCTTCAACTTATAGAGTTTTGCGGGCTATAAGACCAAACAGAAAAATAAGTATGACATTTAAGCACTTTCTGTGCGCTCTTTCTTTAAGCATATCTTTGAAAGATAAAGAAAAATGATTATTGCACTTCTTGTGCACTTTTAAACCAACAAATTTATGTTGATTAGGGACAGATAAGGGGCGATAGAAAATAGATTTAGCAAATTAATCAATCTCAACTCCAATTCAAATATTTTGATTTTAACTACTCTTGTTCAAATCTTCTAAAAAACACCAATTTTTAAGCCGCCTTTTGAGTCAAATCAAGCTAAGTCAATACAAAAACATGCCTGCATGTGTGCATACACAGTCCTAAAGAAAGAGGGATTTTTGTTGTTAACTATTAAATTGTTATGCATTAACTGGTATGACATTCGATCTTTAAAAAAACAAAGTATAGCATCAAAGTCTTATAATATGACTACCGAGAAAAGAATCAAAATTGTCTCTTGGCACTTTATAAAAGATTAAAATAGTTCTCAATTATATTAAAAGACCATTTTGGTTCCTCATAAAGAGACGAAGGACCATTTTTTATCATTTTCTCTAACTAGCATACCACCTACTAAATGACATTAATCATATACAGAGATAATTTACTATAAACATTAACATCTAAGTAGAAACAATCCTAATATATTAATTTTACAAGAAAAATGTCAAAATCATCTCAAGAATATGCCATTTTATCCCTAGACTTTTTAATGTGTTTGATTTAGTCTCTTGACACCTCAAATCTAATACAAAATAGTTCCATAATTCCTCCAATATGATCTAAACAATCCTTCTGTTGTGTTATGTTAGATCATATTTGATGATTCAAGGGATTAAATTGAACATATTAGATAACTAGGATAAAAATTTCCCTATACAAATAATCCATAAATTATTTTTACTTTTTTTCCTAATATTATATTTTGATACACTTGAGGTCTAGCTTGCCCAAAAATTAATTTTATATATCTAACATTTCCTTTGACATTTTTGGGGCAATACATTTTTAGAGCATGTTCCTGTAAGTCTTAAGAAGAATGATAATGTGACTCTTAACATTTCCACACAACCCAATTGAAAATATGAGTTAATATATGCGTCGATTTTTGTGAAGAAGATGTACTGAATGACAAATAAGACATGAACCAAATCATAAATCCTCTTGTGAGGATTTATGATTTGTTTCAAGATCTCCCATAGATGCAAGTCATGATGATTAATTAATTCTTTCAATCATTGGAGAGAATGTTTACTTAAGACTAGTCCATAAGCTCAATGATGCTTTGCTTTGGTGGTAATAATTTGAAGTATAAAATAGGATAGATCTCTATTTAATTTAGACCAAATGATTGAGGAAGGATGACAAATCTGATTAAGATCATAAAGTTCTGTCATTCTATGTTATCATGGGTCATTGTTACATAGTCTACAAAGGTAATTGACCGAACTGCATCGAAAATTGTTTTATCAACAACCATGATTTCATTGTCCAAAGAGAACTCATAAACTCAGGATAAGAAGGTTGTTGAGGGGTCAACTTTGGTTAAAGGAGGCCTTCAGGCCCTATCCAGTGTCTTATGGCTCATAACTCATAGACCATTGGAAAACATGCAAGCTAAATGTTACATCCAACTTTACAGTAATGAAAAGTTAAAAAGTCAATTCATTTAAAGTTAAATGAATTTTAAAAAAACACTTAAATAATTAGTTAACAAATAATTATTGTTAAATAAATGAAGTATTATTATTAAGTAAAATTAATTTCTTATAGTTAATTCGTAACAGTTATTTTTTAAGAGATGTTTCCTTTGGGATGTATGATGAGATAGCCGTTATTGGTGTGGGGCCACTCTTATAGTGGTTTTCACGATAAGCTTAGGAGGCAATTAATGATAAAGGAGTTGCTGTATGTGAAATAGAGAGGAATTATAGGTTACGGCACAGTGCAAGTTTCGGCACAGTGCGAGATTCAGAACAGTGGAATGCTGTGGATTTTCGGCACACTAACTAGAAATTCCTGTAGCAGTCTTCGGTAGCAGAGAACCTGTAGCAATTCGGCAAGAGGAATGAGGGGCACAGTGGGAAATTGGGATCAGTTGAGAGTAATTAAATAGCAGCCGTGTGAGGCCAGTATGCTGTTGAGGCGAATAACAGAAGGCAGATGGAAAAGAATTGATGCAGTGTTGGAAAATTATAAAGGATCGATAAAGTGATGTGCAGACGAAACCAGTACTGTGCATGAAGAATCGATAGCCATGAAGGAAGAATGATAAGAAATTTGTAGTGAAAATAAGAGGTAAGCATTTTTGGTGCATTATCATTGTCTTTTATATTCTCAAAAAGAAATGATAAAAGTTCTAAGTGTATACAATTGTAAGATTAGGATTTCTTCAGATAAATTCATACAAAGAGAAATGATGCAATCAAAAAATATAGGGGACTCTATATTTTTTTATCACAAAGGAAAATGAACACCGACACAACAAAGACTTCTAACGAAATTATTAAAGGACGAGAAATAGAAAGAACAAACTCTTACATTTCAAATAAAACTAAGAAGAAGAAATTAAAATACTACAAACGACGATTTAACAAACTCGAATCGAAATTAAAAGACACCCTAAAGTTGCTTCACTTAGAGAAGAGGGATACAGGTGGAGTGGCACTTGCGGAGAGACAAAAGAGGTTAGAAGCCCGAAAAGAAAGGTTGGAAAGAGCCCGCGGGATTTCCAAAGCAAACCCGCAGGTTATAGCTTTTCCAAAAATAACATATCATTCAACTTTTTTAAACATTACAAATCCTCCCATATATATAGGTATGAAAGGGAATACAAAGAGACACTAACATTAATTATCACAAGAACCTAAACATCACATGCATGGAATCCCAAATGCTTTTCACGGAAAAACACAACCCAAGCCAAGGAACCGAAGAGGCAACCGCGGGAGCCAAGGAGGCCGCACGGAACCAAGGCGCCACAGCCGCGGGAAACCAGCCAGGTGCGGAAAACCAGCAGCCGGCCGGAGATCCAAGAGGCAAGGCACGGAAAACAGCAGCCCAAGGGAGGAAGCCAAGGAGCCACCGCTTGGGAAAAGACAATTCTTGGAATTCCAAAAGCCAGTTTGGAATTCCAAGAGAACTACATAATTAAAAACATAAAAAGCATAAAAAGTACATTTAATATAAGATAAATATGAACTAAAATCATTGCTAATAATGAGCTAACCCTTAGTTCAATAAGTGAACTAAAGACCAGCTCATAAATGAGCTAAAATTTCAACTCAATTTTGATTGAGCTAGTAGACTCAAGGGTACAAAAAGATTTTTTATTTTTGTTGATTTTAATTTTTTTTTTCCAGGTGTGCCCCCCCCCCCCCCCCCCCCCTTTGTCTACATCAAGAAAGCTTCGAAGTGACTTATAATTGTAGAAGACTTCGAAGTAGAGAATTGGAGACACCTCGACAAGAAAGTAAGTAATGTATTTATATTCAAATTTAAGAACTTTCAGTTATTGGCATGAAGGTTGAATTGGAATGCATTAAAGTAAAATGTTATGAAATTTGTTTAATGTATAGAAAGGATTTTTAATTCAAGTTTTCAGGTACGAACAACCAGATACATAATGAAATCAAGTAAGTGTAAAACAAGGTTTAATATGTTAATCTAAATGTTTTCTTTATTTGATACTATTTTGGAAAGATGTTGATTTACTTGCATATGATGTGTATTTTAATTATACACTAGTGACTACAGCAATGATTATGAAAGAATGCAACAACTTAAGTATGACTTGTGAACACTGAAAGCTTTGTGAATATCAATTGAAAAGTAAAGTTTGGCTACAAATGATATATAACTATAATTACAGGACGGCAAAAGAGACCCCAGGGGTACCCCATATAATATATTTGTATTACAGGAGGGGCCAAAGGAACCCCAGAGAATATGATACCTGCATAGCAGGTGGGGCAAAAGGGACCCCTAAAGAGGCAAAAGGGACCTCTATGTAATTCAATGGCGATAATGTCAGATTTACCTGGGCTCCATTGAATAATGTTATGAAGTGTAGCCAAATCTTTTATAGATAAAAATTGATATTCATTGTAGAATTCAGAAGAAGTGAAGATTAAAGTTAATTATGAATTTATAATGATTTCAATGCCTGATTATTCCAAATGATTTTACTTTAAATATTAATTAATTTGCAAAGCTTATTGAGTCTCATAGCTCACCAGTGTTTTCTTACTGGTTGTTGTTACAGGAAAGGGCAAAGAGAAGGTCATAGCAGATTAAATTGTCAAGTATTCCATATGTTATATTATGTTAGTATTTATCTATGTTTGGGAAGGCTAAACTTGAGGTATGTAACTAGTGATATATTACTCTGGATTTTCTTTAGTAGTGGCTCTGTAAGTCTCTCATGTTGAAATTAAAGTTATTAGTTGCTTCTGTTTGAAGGGATGAATGAGGACAGATGGATGCTTTATAAAGATTTTCAAATGTTCAAAAGTATTGTTTGATCAAACGATGAGATGTTTATGTTAGTAATACTCCATGCCTATTAAGGGATGTTATAGGGTGTTACACTAAAATCATATTTGTAATATAAGGGCATCATTACAATCAAGCTAACGATCCTATAATGGAACACACATCACATCCTTAGTAGCATGAGTTTTTTTAATATGATGAAACGAATGCACTTGATTTGGCATTTAACTCTTTATAAACCTTAATCAAACCTAAACTTATCATCCTTGCAAACGTAGAGTAAAAAATAGATGAATGGCTTCTCTGAGTAAGAAATAGTATATAAGAGACTTAGATTCAGATAGAGTTCCCACCAGTTATGATTTCGCATTGAATAAATGCATGACTGAGGACTAAATGTATTTGCTTTAAAATTTGACGGCTTTTTTATGATAAGAAACATCTTTGGTTATAATTGACAATAATTGGATGGACTAGCATAGGTGATGTTGCTCGTTGCATATCTTTTGTTGTCAAAGTATGATTTTGGCAATGAATCACTCTAGTTATGATTTGCCTACATTTCAGCCTTTTAAATTGCAAAGATGGCTCTAATGTCAAAGGCAAGAATTTGTCCTAAATAAAACCCTTGTAAATCAATAAAATACAAATATATTAGTAGGCATTGACAACATATTAATGACAAGAAGTTATAGACACTTCAAATTTAGTTTGATATAAGAACATTTTCCTTGTTTGAAAATTAATAAAACCCTTGTCAATCACAAGTATATAAATATATGACAAAAACAAAATATAATAAGTTATGGACGCTCCAAATTTAAATTAATTCTTACGAACATTTTGCATGTTTGAAAATTAGTTCTTACAAATCTTATCATGAAAGAACTGAAGCCAACAAAAGTTGACATCAATAAAGAAATAAGAACGAAAACAAAGCATAATATAATTTCATAACTTCAGTAACTTACAAATATAACTACTATAATGATTAATTCTCCTGATATCTTAGATCAATTAAAAAGAAACAATAGATGGGCATTAGGAAGTTTACCTCAAGAAGTCCTCCGTTTGAATATTTCAGGACTCGAAGAAAGGCTTTGGTTTTTTGACCCTTTGACTTGGCTGCCAGGATCACTTATTAGTTATATAAAATTTTTCGAAACATTATAGAAGTTCACGGGATAAACAACAGGTATAGTAATTTCGTCCTGTATAATTAATGCAATCAAAGTTTCAAATCAAGGCAATTTATAGATTTCAATATCACAAAAATTAACGGTTGTAGGAGCATATTAATGTACTGATAGTTCATTATTACAAATCATATTAAACATAAAAGGAAATCTGCAATTCAGATAGAATTTCTAAAGCAAAGAAAGAGATGCAAGGCACAATATATGTAAAACCCGAAATTCGTCGTTCGAGTGCGTCGCACGCATTTCGATGCACCGCGACGAACTTAGGTGAAATTTCAAAGTCGTCAGAATTCGACGAAATAAATTTTATTAAATTCGACACGAATTCTGATCGAAACGATATAAAGAACTTATATCAAATTTCGTACGGTTTGGTAATTAAAATTTGCCGAAGAAGTTTAAGTAACATTTAGTCATTTCTTCCATTTTTGGCCCCATGAGCCCTTAAGGAAATGTTTATGAATAAGGGTACATGCGTAAATTGGCCATAACCTTATTTCCCTAAAAGCTCCTCACGCCTAAGGGACCCTTGTTCGTTCCATTCGGCCGCACGCGAGAGAAGAGGGAGGAGGTGACAGGAGAGCTCAGGGAGTGGCGGTCGGCTTGATTTGCCGGCGAGATCTTTTAGGAAAACGTTAGAGGAAGACTTGGAGAAGCTAGAAGGTAAGTCAATCTTGAAGAATCTTATTCTTTTCATGAGATTTTCTTAAAGCAAATATTTAGGGTTTGAATTTTATTGAAGATTTCTTTAGAAGAACTTTAGGGCTTGGTTTTACCTACTTTTTTAAGCCTTAAACTTGAAGGTTCCTTAAGGAAAAGCATAGGTTACGAAATTAGGGTTTCTCCATTTTGGATTTTTTTTTTTTTTTGTAGGGAATGCTAGAAGATATTAGGGAAAGGAACTTTATGAAGAAAAATGCAAATTTTTCTTTAAGAATTTGGGTTTTATAAATTAGGGTTTTTTCCAAAACTAGGGTTTTTGATCTTGCATGTTCACAAATATTATTCCTAAAGGTTTAGGGAGCTCTCTAATTAGGGGAAACTTAATTTTTGAGAAAAAAATAATTTTACTAATTTTTTTATGATTAAATCCGAAATTTTAATGCCTGAAATTTATATATATAAAAAGATAATGTTTTTATATGCAAATGGAATGAAATTGGTGCAATCTTGGGGTTCCAAAAATTGGGTTTAGAGCGAAACCGAAAAATTTATATTAAAAAGATAATTCATGGTGTAGGAAAATTTAGAGAATGAACGATTAATGAGATTATATAATTATTGTTAGCAATTGTGTTCTTTAGGTCGAACCTAAGACAAGTTCGATTCAAGGAATTGTGCGAAGAAGTTTAACGAAGGAAACCTAAGGTAAGTGACACTACATTCTAGAGTACATGTTTGTTTTTCTTAATTACATATTCTCTTATGTCATTTTATTATGTTCATGTTAACATGCAAGATAGAAAACTTTTACATAAAAGTTACATAGTACTTTACAAGTTTTCATGTGTAATCAAATGCTTATATGTCACGTTCACTTAGTACTTATATGGATAGAAAAGCTCTTCATATGTTAAAACGTTCAATTTCATGCTAAATTAAATGCATCATCTTCATGCTTAATCAAATACATCATATGTATGATTCATATTATCATTTTATGTTATGATATTGAAATGCAAAGTTTGTGCTTGTTGAGGCGGAATACCAATATGGTGCCTTGGCACAATAAGGCTCTTTAGAGCAAATATGGCCCTTTGAGGCAATATGGAAATAAAGGAAAGAAAGAAAAATGATATGGTCATTAAATATGTGTACCTGATCAGTACAATTTCGGTACTCCGGTACGGATGTATATGATACGAATAAGAGAATAAGCATATTAATGAATAGCATGACATTGAAAAATATATCATGAAATGAAAGAAATGATAAAAATATGATGTAATAAGTCTCATGTTAAGCATGTGATTCAAGATATTATGGAAAACATAGCACATGGCATTTGACATACACTAAGCATATGACATTGAGACATATAAGCATATGTTATCAACTTGCATATTGTTTTCTTCTTCATTGCATATGAACTTTAGATGGAGTTGTCATTTGCTGAGCGTAACTCACACCCAAGTTTCAGGATACTTTTCAGGAGAATCTACTCGTAGGTGATGGCAGAACAACCAAGGTTTACCTACAGTCGTCGTATACTGGCTGATAGGTTCTTTTGATGTTTTCGTAGTTGTAGTTAATTTTTCCTTTTGGGTAGTTTTGGCATGAATTGTTTAGTTTTGTAACCACCCTATGTAAATGAATTCTCTTTTGATATGACTTGAAATGTTAAATATATGTTTTGGAAAAAGTTTAGATGCACTTTTAAATCTCTGTTAAAGTCTTTTAGATTTTTAATTACATGTTTTAAGATGATTGAAATGTTCTGAACGTCCGATTCCGTTCCCGCCTCGTCTACGAGCTAACCGGGCCGGGTCGTGACAATATATCAGCACAAAATGTGGAGAAACATCTTGATGTAGAGCATATTAGCATATAAATTTGATGCATAGCATCTTAACATATTAAGCAAGAGAAATAGCATTCTTATTTCATTTTTCTACCACTATGTTGACCTGCCGAATAAAACAAAAAAAGGAAATTGTGCATACCTGCCCGAAGCCATCCCTCGCACGTCGGTCACACGCCAACATCGTTTCTCTCCACATCGCCTTCACAACTCGCTCGTGTCGTTTCTCCCCACATTCGGCCTCTCTCTCTCGCGCTCGCTCCCTCGATCTCTCTCGCGCTCGCTCCCTCGATCTCTCTTGCTATCTTTTTTTTCTTTTCTCTCCCGCGCTTCTTTGGCTCTTTCGTCGCTGCTCAACTCCTCTCCTCCGACGACGTTCCCTTTGAGTCAAATCGGAAGTTACAACACTTTGATAGGAAGCAAGAAAGGGAGTTCGCCGACTGTAAAGATAACTTCCTCCTGTTCGCACGCTTCTTCGACGGCGTCCCCTTCCTTGTCAAATCGGAGGTTACAACATTTTGATCGGAACCGGCAACAGGAGTCGCTCATAGTGAAGGAAATTTTCTTTCTTCTCATAGCTCCCCCGCCTCCTTCGTGGTTCTCCAACTTCGCTCCTTCCGCGACATCCCTTCCTGTCGGTTCGAAAGTTCCAACATTTTAATTGAAAGCAAGAACTGGAGCTCGCTCTCTGTGAAGTCAACTTTCTCCCTTCCGCAAGCTTCTTCAGGCCCTACTTATTGGTCGACTTCGCCCTTCGACGACATTCCTTTCATGTTTGATCGAAAGCAACAACAGGAGCTCACTGGCCGTGAGGTTAACTTCCTCCCTGCCGCGCACCTCTTCGGCCAAATCCTGTTACCAAGCAGCCCTTTGGGCATTTTTTAAGTTATTATTATTATTATTATTATTATTATTATTATTATTATTATTATTATTATTATTATTATTATTATTATTATTATTATTATTATTATTATTATTATTATTATTATTATTACCTAGTGCACGTTTTTTTTAGCGAGGCTGGGATAATCTTAAGTACCCGTACGCGGCTTTGTACCTGCGGGGAAACAACTGCTCTTCTTTTGCAACTGGTACATTTGAAGACCCATACATACTTTTCTTAGCGTGGTGGGGACGAAGATTTTACTGTCGTGGTGTCCTCGTCAGAGGACACCTACCATACACGCTTTTCTTAGTGTGGTGGGAAGGCCCAGTTTTCCGTAGTTTTCCCCTAAATGGGAGAGACGTTGGGAGGCTGCCAAAATTTCGGGTGAACATATGACCACACTTGGACTCAAATGAACACGAACTAGTGAACTTGAGCATGAACTACAAGGACTTGTACTTGAACACAAATCAAATAAATTTAATCCAAACTTGAACAAAATACATTAAGAATTTGGAATTTAACATGCCAACAAGGAACTCAAACTGAACTCAAACTGGAACAAGATGTGGACAACAAGAACTTGTGGACTTAGAAATGGTATAGTGCATACGCACTGAACTTGCAAGTGAACTTGCATATTAAACTCAAGCTAAATTCAAACTTGACATGAACAATAAAGAACATGAACTTTCAAGAACAACAGGGGACTCAAGGAACTTGAGTTCGAATGAAATACAAAGAGCTGAACCCATAACAACATATCTAAGTGGAATTGAACTTGGACATGGCAAATAAATACAAACTCAAATGAATGTGACTAAGATGCGACAAATATCTCGTGAGTTCTTGTAGGAAGGATATTGCAACATCCTCGAAACCAACATTGAGTTACAAGTAGGCACACTACTAGACCTCAATGCATACAAACAAAGAGGTAGTGGACACTTACAACAGTCTCTACGAGATCAAATGCACCATACTTGCAAGGATAACAGATGGTTGCAGAATGCATATGTGTATCCAATATGCATTATTGAAAACCTCAATACAAACAATAATTCACATGTTGATTGAATAAGGCGACACTGGAAATTAATAGTGAAGGATCCATCGCCGCAAATAAGTTGTGAAAGAAAAAGGTGTACATAATGCAAATGTAATAGACACCTACGACAATCCCTACAAGATTGAGATGGCAACGCTGTCAATTGATAGCAGAAGATCCGTCCCTGCAAACAAATACATCAAACCACCAGAGATTGGTGAAATGTGAATATGATGCAAGAGCAATGGTTCTTCTACGAATATTTCCAGGAGGTCGTAGTGAATGTAACGGATTCCTGTGAATAAACACGAGCCATTTGTGGATAACAACAATGGGTATATCGTAAGCACAACGAACCCTTGTGGACACAAGTATATATATCACCTACTACAGCGGTGATTGAGATTTGCAAGTACGTCGGATATGAAGACAACTCGATGTACAGAGAATGACACCTCCCGGCAGAATGGAATAGATATTTAAACAAATTCGAACTAAACTTCCTGGTGTTTCCAAATTTCTTCTTAGTCTTATACTCGGGAAGAAAACAGCTCCAGCATCTACTACACTATAAATCTTGAGAAGAGTTATTTTCAAGGCAGTGATCACCAATATACCCGTTACGTATTCAACATATTAATTATGGATAAATATGAAAGCACTGCAACATATAACAACATCTATTAGTTAAAGCAGGAGATTCGTTAGTGCACTATGATCCACCCGCAGAAAGCAAAAAATAGTACACGACAGTATACCTGTACAAAGCAGCGAATAACTCAATTCAAAAGCTGCTATACCACGCCACCGAATCCGCAACATCCATGCAAGCGGATAGAAGACGTTTATAAATGTTTCAAAGTACCTTCGTACATACACCGCAGTTTGTATACACATGGGTACACAATGGGTAAATGCAATCACGAAACTCGCATGGGCTCCGACGAGCATGTTATTGGTACACATGTGACGTCTAGGGATGTTGCGCGGGTCAATAAATTTGAATCCGATCCTCATAAGCGAGTAAATAGAAGTCGACAATGTTTAACAAATAACCATAAAATGCCCCAAAACACCCCGATGATGGCCGTGTTAAATGAAAATATCAAATTTCTACTTTAAATATCAAATTTTCCAACCCTTCAAACTTCAACTTCAACCCATGTTGCTACTACATGCCAAATACTACGTATCTCTACATATCTGATTGACAACTAGCCTTAAACAAAAGTTCTCTCTTGTGATCGGGAGGGGCAATTAACTGTAGGGGCTTGCGCCTATAGGAAACCAGAACTCAGATCATAAAGTCCTCGCAAAATGAGGGTGCAATCTCTGGGTAGTGTCTAATCTACAAACCCATCTGTCTTCCCAAAATTTATCCCAGAACTTAATTTGTTAAAACTCCCATCGCCAAAGGAAAAAAAAAAAAGCCACAGTTCGAGCGGAGGATGGGGCCGAATTTTTGGACTTGATTCGGAGCATCTTAATATAATAAGCAAAAGTAGTATTCCTACTTTGCTTTTCTACCACTGCTACCTTAAACATTATTCATTTATTCGATTATAATGTACTATGTTAACTTTATAACTATTTTCTCTTGTTTTAACAATATAGATGTAAGTATGAAAAGAGAAAACTAGAAAACAATATCAATTTAGTGCTTTTAGGTTTATATGTTTCTCTCTATTTTGCACCGCTAGCTTCAGGCGACTGCCACATCACATCTAACAGGAAGTTAGCAATACAAAGCCCATAAGAAGTTAAAAAGTACAATAATTCTTCATGGTTTTAACTAGATTTTAAAGTAAGTGCCTTTTACAATTGATTTGGAGAGTAGAGCGATGGTTAACAAAGATATTGGACAAAATACCTACATCTTCACAAACTTAAATATCATTATTAATTAATATAATGCCCATATTACTAATAAGAAGATCAAATTATTTTCCAATTGAAGAAATAACCTTAATACAGTTTAGAACTACCCAATAGATGTAGGAAACAGCTTTTCTCTTTGCTTCTTTGACCGGGAAAAGTGGGTGAAGCATAATTTAACAAGTTTCGAATTTTTTTTAAGAAAATAGGATGTTAAGTTATAAAAACTGATATATCATCAAAAAATTATCTTGATCGGCATGAATCTCGAGGCAAAAATCAAGCCGAAAACTTCAAAAATTAAATATGGGATCACCTAAACTCCGATTTTAGCAAACTTACAGTCAAACTGAGCGCCTCAGAAATACGAACCCAACGACACCAAATTCAACTCAATATGATCCCAAATGAGTCCGAATCGAAGACCCGAAGCGTTGTTGGCAGGTTCAAACCGCAATTTGGATTACCAAACATGACATGCTTATAGTCGAATCGATCGGCTCGACGAGAAGAATCCAACGAGCCCAAGATTGTCGAATTCCAATACATTAAGAACTTGAAATGTCTGACAAACGGTCCACGATCAAGGGATTCAATATCAGTCGTCCATCCAATCCACTCCACATTTGACCTTGATCCTCCCCCTATTTACGAGTCATGACATCCTCAAAAAACTATAAATAGCCTCTCATTTCTCTTGAGAGGGGACCCAAGCAAGAAGAAGGAGAGAAGAAGGAGAATAGAAGAGAAGAAGGATAGGAGGAAAGAAACTCCTCCTTGACCACCGCCGGAATTCAACCCGACTTCCAAATGACGTCGGAACTCCGCCCAACTTCCAAATGATGCCGCAATTCTGCCTGACTTCCAAGTGACGCCGGAATTCCATCCGACTTTCCAGTGACGTCAGAACTCTGCCCGATCTCCAAGTGATGCATGAATTCTATCTAATTTCCAAGTGACTGGAGTTTTGCCCGAATATCATCTAAGGTCGGAGTTCTCCCCGGCCGCCGACTGAATTCGGACTTCCACCCGACGACGGACCTCCGCTCGTCGCTAGATTTCTACTCGACGCCGGACTTATGCATGTTGTAGGGTTTTCATCGGGCATCTATCCAATGTGGGATTTCTATCCATTGTTGGACTTCTACCGGCTATAATCATTCCGACCTCTGTCGCCCACCGACTACAGTCTTTCTAACCTCTATCGCCTACCGACTACAATCCTATCGACCTTCGTCGCCCGCCGACTACAGTCCTTCTGACCTCTGTCGCCCGCCGACTACGGTCCTGCCGACTTACATCGCCCACCAACTACAATCCTATCAACCTTCGTCGCCCTCCGACTACGGTCCTTCCGACTTACGTCGCCCATTGACTATGGTTCTTCCGACCAAACGAATACGTCAACAGTGCCTCTTTGTATTCTCATCATGTACTTCATATAAGATGTACATCAAGGCCTTCCCCCAAGGAAGGGCCTCATTTGTAATCAACTGCAATACTAGTGGATTCATTCAAACTGGGCTAGGCCCCGCGGTTTTTTCCCTTTTTTAGGGGTTTTCCACGTAAAAATCTTGATGTCGCTTAAATGCAACACCCTCTCTCTTTATCTGTATGCATACTGGATTTTCGTACAATGCTTAGACGCTAAATTTTATATTTATCTACCGCCGTGAATACTCCAGGACGCAACATACAAAATTCAAGGGTCTATCCCTGAACGCACACTAAGAATGGGAATAGTAAGATTGATGTGTGCGAAATTAATAAAGACGCATTACAAAATGATAATGTTAGAACTATCAATGATAAATTAGCCTACATTAAAATTAGATGAAATGGGCAATAGAAAATTTAGGGCGAGAGATGCATCAATAAGAACAATAGATAAAATTAAGTGGAAGGTCGTAAAGTCTGCAAAAATAGAATTAACAGTTCCGTTTCAGTCAAGTGGCGCTCAATAATATTAAATTTAAAATGAGGATTTATGTTGCTGTGAATGATGGTGTCGAAGGCGAGTTATTTGTTTTCGGCCTGCAAAAATAAGAAGGTAACGAGGAAGAACAATGCGAATGAAATAAAATGAGGTGGTGAGTAAGAGATTACTGGTGATGGCAATAACCCTGGCTTTGGCCATCTGGCGGCCAAGCTTCGCAGATTTCCCAAAAATTCCACGACTCTTGGCCACGCGGATGGAGAGTACAATATTGTGCCTGCTCCCTTCGATGGAGGCCTCGCAGGCACGCTTCAACTCCACATCGTCAGCGCTGGATCTCGCCATTGTCGATTTCTTTCCTCCTTTCTCGGTAATTTATCGGCGGCTACTGATCGGTCGCAGCCTACATACGACGAGGTGCTCACCTTTACGTAAATACTTGATCTCTACGGATAAATAATCGAAGCTAGGCCGAGATTGTTCACCGTCTGTTTAGAAAAGAAGATATTTGTTTTCTAATTGAAAGTTCTAGGAGAAATATCGGTATCATCGGAGACGGTCAATATCGCGGTCGTATCTGCTCGTCAAAGATTGGAGAACGCCGCTGCATGCGGAAAAAAGGGAAGAAGACTGGAATGCGAGGATCAGAGAGGAAGGGGAGGAGGAGATGAGATTAGCATGATGAGAACGATGGGAGCGGTCGTCGAGCAGAGGAGAGGATGACGGTAGAGGAGGGACGCGAAGGTAACGGGCCCTTTTATTTTATCTTAATGAACGAAACAGACTCCATAAAAATATCAAAAGAAAGGACCTGGTTGGCCCGTGCACCTCTACGCCTGCGGCTTCAACCATATTTTTGGAAAAAAAAAAGTTTTGGATACCATATATTATTTTTATTTTATATGTTATATGAAAAAAAAAATTGAAACGATATGTTAGGCACTTATTGAAGAATGGTAGGTTAGATATTTTTATTTTACATCAGAAGGTTTTACATAATTTGATTGTAATTTTTTTTCATTTTTTTCAAGACTAATTAATTTTCTACTTTCTTACCTATTGTTATTTGGATTGCCATGACTCCTGCTGCGGTAGACGCTGCAGGTTCAAGATGACGATGCATATGTTCCGTCCATCGTATTATGATATTGAGTTGTTCAAGGCCTACCGGCGCAATATCAAAAAGCAAGTACCAGCAAAGGCACAATCTCCTGTTTGACACTATAAGATGGTCACAAGCTCTTATACGGTATAACAAGAAATAAATTGAAGTAACTTGCTTTGTAATAAACTAGTGTGTGATAGGCTAAAACAAATTAGTTGTAAACCCAATGTCTTGCGCCTAAAGCAATGATAGCATGTATGCATGGGCTATGATATACATGTGGATGACCACTTATACAAGTACACATTTGTAGGGATGTAATGATGATGCAGTATGATTTGCAGGATATGTCAAACACTTTGAACTTGTGATTGTTAATTTGTGCTAGTTGTAGACTTCTACATTCATGACGTTCAGCCACTTGCAAGGCAGCCTTTGTACAAGAAGAAAATGTCGAACTATATGAAGCGATCCATTCTTCAATCTTGCTTGTTCTCTTAAGAAATAGTATAACAAGATTATAATAAACAGTTATAATAAGACCTTGAATAGACAATCAACGAGCCCTTCTAAGGACTCTGTTGAAGCATTTAGAATAATTTGTTGTTATAATTCCATATCAACAATCCACATCATGAGTCAAAGCCCACTTGCTAGCATCTTATTCCAACAACCAATCAAAGGCTTCTTTTTAATATTTTGTATGTCGACCATGTACCTATTAAGAACAATAATATCGTTAGTATTTTTGGCCCAATACATTCTATCACAAACAACATCACAATTCGTGATGGCTAGACGTCTTAAAGCGTTTTTGAAATTCTCTCGCAAGTGACACAGATAATGTTAGTGGGCGGCCCATGGAAAATTTCACTACATCCATATACTAGGTGTAACACCCCAAGATCTAAAGTGAAAGAAATTCATTTCTTTCAGATCCATTTGCCTATTTAACAAATAAATATCAAATATAAAATAAATCCTTCAAAATTAAATAAATAAATCTAAAAAATTACAAAATAAATATAAACACATTTAATCATTAAATAATGAAATCATTAATGCAGCTCTGGTTACAAGTAAATTCTTCTACTAACCATTTCTTTTATGCCATTTTGAAAAAAAATGAGTTGCAAAGATAATAAAGAGAAAAGAAAATAATTTTTTTCACTTTAGATTTTGGGGCATGACACCAAGCCAGGTTGTTTATCAGATATGATGCTTAAATCACGATCATTTTATACTAGGGCAATGAGATCACGAAGCATATGACTAACTCCATGATTTTACTAATTCATATTCAACGACTACAAAGGCCACTGGATAAAGACTATCATTATCATCTATGACAATAGTTGCTAGTAATGTACCTCTGTGTTTTCCTTAGAGAAATATATTGTCCATACATAGTACATAATGATAGAATTGCCACCCTTTTATACTTGAGCAAAAAGTCCAAAATATTCCTTTGAACCTGATGTCATGGCTAACTGACTTCAATATTGTAAACATATTTGGGGATAGCTAAGCACACTGTTTTCATCATCCGGTATAAGGAAGTGTAAGACTCCTCATAACTCTCAAAAATTAAGAATGTCACTTTTCTTCTTGCATCCCAAGCCATTAAATATGAGACTTTCATATCAAATTTGTAGCTAATACATGCAATGATCTCTCTTGACTTCAAATATAATTGTTGCCTTAACACCACAGCTATATGATGGCATATAAACTTTGAACTGCAGTTACGATGATTGACAAACATAATTGGATGTGTGCACATAAGCCGACCGAAGATTGTCGAAATCTTCCAAACCCCACCCAGGCGCTTGCTCCCAGCGGCATGGACTCGACATAGACAATGATGAGTTTGGTAATCATGCTGAGCACATGTAACTACAAGTCGTTGCTTGTTTGATCATGATTTTTTGTACTCAACATTGTTTATTATTAACCAACCATTACGAACACATTATAGTGCTTCCATGCTCTTGAATGTCATGCCCTCATACAGATGATCCAGAATGATTGCCCTCGAAGTTCTCATGATGACAGCCTATCAGGACGTTAAAACCATCATAAGCATCGCACTCCTTAGTGGTACGTATGAATTCAATGAACTCATTATTGAAGAACATGTTCTCCAGGTTTTCCACGTTATTCTAAATTATTTGATGTCCAAGTAATGGGAGCTCCACATTCTCGATAGTAATAGGACCTACCAGTGTCTTGTCCCATTATCAATGGTCTCATAAGCAGGAAGAATTGGTTCTAGCTCTGTATGGGTTCAACATGGTACATTAACAACCTCATATTTACCAACGTGAGGCATTAAGGAAGGCAATTCTTAAAGATAGATTGGAAAGTTGAGGTCGATTGTAGGCACTCGCTCACACTCATGCAATGTGATGTTGGGGGATCAACGATCATATGTGTGGGCCTATAGAAAATTACCTCGATGATTGACCAATTATTGTATAATTGAGGGAGTAAGCATGAAGTTAGTGTGAATTCATGTTTGAGAAAAACCTGGATATATAGGTGGAATGTTAGGGGTTATCAAATGACATGGATGAAGAGTAAACCGCTCTTGGCATCTGCGTGGGTAACTCTTCAGAATCAACATACATGATCACGGTCCTCCTTCTAGCCTCGACTAATACAAACTAACAAATCTCATCATCTGTGATATGAACCGTGGTGTGACTACCATTATTACACAATCAACATGCAAGGTTCACTATATATGTTGTGTTATCACAACGTAATACTCCAAGGATCCTAAGTTTAAGTTGTTCAAATGTTAATGTATTGTTAATCTCTAGAGATCTATTTCTTCCCCCAATATATGTTGTTGTAAAATCTTTTGTTGGTTGGAGCTCCCGGTCATAGAATAAAAGTTGGCATGATATATTATCCGGTGGTCACAATCAGGAGGTGAACAAATCAAATAAACCATGCTAAAAAAAAAGTGGCTGTGAGAAAAGTATATCAATTATAAGTAAGCGTGATTCATACTTTATTAGTTAACAAGATGGCTTAAAATATTTTTTTTGTATTTATGCTTGAGTGGTTAACAAAATGGCTACTCGCTTTAATACTTCAAAATATTGTATAAGCTTCCAAGTTATATTTACATTCCGGATTTAAATTTTCCAATAAATTTTTTCATATCTCATATTATATAGATTTTATAATTATGTACAACAAAAACATAAAAATATATATAGAATATTAAATTATTTAAATGTTTAAATTGTTATGTGATCAAGAAATATATTTGAATTAGGAAATAAAGTTTATCCAAAATTTAATTCTTCACAATTAGATTGGACTCTAAAATTTAAATATAATTATTATATGCTTGATTGGGTAAAAATATAGAGGCTGTAAACTAATATTCACTTACAAGTATCTTTAATTAAATATATCAAATTAAATCGATCTTTTTTTAAAATGAACGAATGCATTAGCCTTGAACTTCAGGTTCTATTCGATAATAACTAAAGTCTATGAATTTATATTTGAGCAATCTAAAGTAGTCCCTCGATTGTTAGTAAATGTCCAATTTAGTCCTAAACTTTCATAATGCCCCAATTTAGCCACTCGACTATTAGAAAATATCTCAATTTAGTCTAAGACCAAAAGTAACAGTTAAAGTTAACTTCAATAGTTAAATGTGATGAAATTTTAGATATTGGAGCATATGTGAGATTATATTATTATTTTTATTTATTTTAGTATTTATTATATTAAAATAAATATAAAAAATATAATGAAAATTGACCATGTTTATTAATTATTCATAATTATTATTGAATTGATTAACTTCTATTATAATTTTTATATTTATTTTAATATAATAAATAATACAAAATTATAATATAATCTCACATATACAATAATATCCAAAATGTCCTCACATTTAATTGTTGAGATTAATTTTAATTCTTACTTTTGGTAACAACAATAACAAGAACATTAAGCCTGTCGCACTACGTGGGGTCAGCTAAATGAATCATTTTTCTTCATTGTGTCATGTTAAAAGTTAAATTCTTATTTAAATCTAATAAAGAAAGATTATTTTAAATATTTTCTAACTAAGTTTTTTTAGGTCTACCTCTATATTTCTTAATATTAGTCAAATCTAATACATCTATATTCCTAACTGGGTCATCGGAAGGCCATCATTTTATGTGACCAAATCATCTAAGGCGACTCTCTCTAATCTTATCTTTCACTGGAGCTACTCCAAACCTTTTCGAGTATATTTTCATTTCATATCCTGTCTCTAAGGGTAAATCCACTCATCCACCTGAGCACCTCATATTTGCAACACTTAACTTAGTATTATACTTCTCTTTTAATGGCCAACATTCTGCACCATAAAATATTACAAGTCTCACCACCATCTTATAGAATTTTTCCTTAAATTTGAGGGGGACTTTTCTATATCACAACAAGCCCAATGTATTCCTCCACTTCAACCATCCAACTTGAATTCTACTGATAATATCCCCATTAATTTCACCAGCACTTTGAAGAATAGATCTAAGATATCTAAAATGTGTATTCTTATTAATGACTTTATCACTCATAGTTACAATCTCCCCACTAAATCTATTACTACTAAAATTATACTTTATATATTCAGTTTTAGATCTA